GCATGCCTTGTATGAAGAACAGTGTGCATTATTGAGAAAGCGGACTTAATATTTTTGTGAGAATGTAGAATCACTTGAATAAATCATTTTTAATGAAATGTGTTCATTTTATTTAGGAATACAGTGGCCAAGAAAATTAGTCAGTGGCTTCATCACTCTTTTCTTTTTCTTTTTATCATGTTAAATTCTCCACTGACTCCTATTACTCTGGGAATTGCTATTTTCATGTCATTCTAAATGTTTTTTGTGTTGCTTTAGGGAACGCAAAGTAATTTAGTTTCACATTGTTTTTGCATTACAAATGTAGCTAATGTTTAAAATGAATGGAGTATTATAGTCTTAGCAGTGGATGTACAGCCTACAAAGAACCTTTGTGAGCTGATTTTGGCAGTATTTTCTCAACACTCCTGCGAGAAACAAAACACCCCACGTGTTTTAATATCAACCTTTTATTTTAAATGCTTCAACTGTACTTAAAATCTGCTAGTTGCAACCTTTTAAAGTATTTCTTGTATATAAATATATCTTCACAATGAAAATTATTATTCAATGTTTGATTTATGCTTCTTTCTTATTTCTGTCTTCTCATCCTATCCACAGACCTATAGAGTTTAACAGTTTTATTCTTAAAAATAAAACTTAACTTGGGGTACCTGGGTGGCTCAGTCAGTTAAACTTCTGCCTTTAGCTCGGGTCATGATCCCGGAGTCATGGAATGGAGCATGGCATCTGCCTCCCCACTCAGTGGGAAGTCTGCCTCTCTCTCCCTCTGCAGCTCCCCCTGCTCACTTATTCTCTGTGTGTGTCAAATAAATAAATAAACTAAACTAGAAATAAATATATAAACTTAGTCGCAGGCTATTAAAACTGTTATTATGGGCAGCCCCGGTGGCGCAGCGGTTTGGTGCCGTCAGCAGCCCAGGGTGTGATCCTGGTAGCCCAGGATCGAGTCCCACGTCAGGCTCCCTGCATGGAGCCTGCTTCTCCCTCTGCCTGTGTCTCTCCCTCTCTCTCTGTCGCTCATGAATAAATAAATTAATTAATTTTAAAAAATTAAAATAAAATAAAATTGTTATTATAACTCACTGCAAAGTAAGCTCCATTGATTGTCAGGAATATGTGCTAGATTCCTGTTTGAGGAGATTTTAGTCCTTTAAACAATCTAGGAATTCTTTGGATTTATCCACATCCTCAGAATCTAACATTGTTTCATCACAAATTTCCAGAAAAAACTTTGTAAAGACTTTATTTACTTTGAGAGAATATGAGCTTATTTTTTTATTTAAATTTTTTTTTAAGTTTTGTAGTTTTTTATTTTTATTTATTTATTTTTAAGATTTTATTTATTCATTTGATAGAGCACAAGCAGGGAGAGTGGCAGGCAGAGGGAGGGAGAAGCAGGCTCCCTGCTGAGCAGAGAGCCCAACGTAGTGCTGATCCCAGGATCCTGAGATCATGACCTGAATCAAAGTCAGATGCTTAACCAGCTGAGCCACCCAGGCACCATGAGACCATGAATTTAAAGTAGCTGTGCAGTTTTGTGATTTTTCTCCAGTTACATTCAGCTGGTCAGACAGACCTTAAGAATGCAGGTTGTTCAGGGACATGCAGTTGTGCAACATGTATATGATTGAGGAAGATGGGGACAAAGGAATTAGGGGTGTTTTCAAGGGAGTTATTTTATTATTTTATTTTATTTTATTTATGAGAGACAGAGAGAGAGAGAGGCAGAGACACAGGCAGAGGGGAAGAAGCAGGCTCCATGCAGGGAGCCTTACGTGGGACTCAATCCCGGGTCTCCAGGATCACGCCCTGGGCCAAAGGCGGCGCTAAACCGCTGAGCCACACGGGTTGCCGTTTTCAAGGGAGTTTGAAGAGACAAAGGATAGTGTAAAATATTTTCAAAAATGGTTAAAATGCAAAAAAGTTTTGATGCTTTCATAATCTTAACTAGAACACAGGTGGTTCTTTGCATGTTTGCCCTATTAGTTCTTTTGGAATGGCAAAAGTTTTTCAAAAGTTGTTTTTAAAACTGTGAACTTGGGATCCCTGGGTGGCTCAGCGGTTTAATGCCTGCCTTTAGCCCAGGGCATGATCCTGGAGTCATAGGATCAAGTCCCACATGGGGCTCCCTGCATGGAGCCTGCTTCTATCTCTGCCTGTGTCTCTGCCTCTCTCTCTCTCTGTGTCTCTCATGAATAAATGAATAAAATCTTAAAAAAAAAAATAAAAATAAAAAATAAAACTGTGAACTTATTTTGTTTGTAAGAAGTAGACTGATTAAAAGAAAATAACTTCCCTTGGTTATTCCTTACAAAACAAAATTCCAGACTATTTTGTTTTCCAGAGAATTGAATAGGAAATGTCAGTAAGCTGTTTTCTTTTATAGCATATTGTGTAAGAACACATTATTTGCTCAAATGAAAATTCCTATTGCAATATCTTTAAAAACATCTTCAAATAATTGCATAATACCATTGTTATAAGTAAGAACTCAAATATACTCAAGTTGTTTTGGACAAAAGTTTTTAACTCAGCTATCACAGTCTTTTGCACAGGGACAAGTTTTAAAATTTTTTCTTCATAACATAGATACCCCTTTGTGACTTGTTTATCCTTTTGCCACAAATTAATTACATTTTACTTATTGTGATGTAGGTGAATGGCTGTTCATCTCTGAAACAAATTCCTTACAGAATTAGGCTTGATACGAATGCATCAGATAGAAAATCCCAAACATCCTCAGTTAATTTTATTTATAAAGCCCAGAAAGCATGATTTTTGGAATAGGTTTACACTTTGTGAACCTGTTGTGATTCTCTGGTTTTAGAGATTTTCACAAAATAACGTCATTTATCTTTTTTTTGGAATTGCTTGTGCTATATCTTTTGAAAACATCCTCACATAAGTATGACTTAAGTTTGCAGAATCAAATTTCCAGCTTTTATGAATTCTTCGGAATGTACTCTCTGAGCTCCCATACTTGATCCTGTACTTTCTTCCTCATCATTACAACTAGTATATATTGAGTTTGTAGGAAAAGTGAGAGAATATAATTAGTATTTTATATACATTACCTTGTTTGATCCTCATAGCAATGCTTTGATATATGTCATGTTATCTCTATTTTACAGATTAAAGAAACTGACATTTAGAGAGATTTAGAAATATGTCCAAGCTCATAGATACTTAAGTTTGAGTTTGAATCCAGTTCTGTTAGACTCCAAAACCTATTTTCTTCCCACTAAGTTAGATATTATGGATCTATTTCATTTTAAGTGAAGTCCTGTGCTCATCTGGCTTCCCTACCAGAAGGAAGGACCCTCTGGAAGACAAGGACCTTGTGTTGTTTGTATTTATGTCTTCAGAGCCTGGTACAGACCCCAGGATTTTTTTTTGACCCCAGAATTTTTTAAATGAGAATTTTTAGATTTTTTTCAGTGAAAGACACTGAAATAGCAATGAGGCATGTACCAATGAAGTAGTTCCTCTAGTATAAGCAGTTTACTGCCTCATAAACCTCCTACCCTTTTGATGTGGTTATACACATGCATGTACAGACACACACACATACATGCATTCTTTCATTCTTACCAATACCGTGGCACCGAGAATTTGTTATCATTTTGTAGATCCGAAAATCAAGGTCTAGGAATGCCTGGTAGCTCAGTTGGTAAAGCATGACTCTTGGTCTCAGGGTTGTGAGTTCTAATAAAATCCAAGCAAACAAAAAAAGAAAATCAAGATCTAGAAAAAATGAGATTTGCTTAAGATCACATCACTAGTGACAAATCTGGGATACAAATCCAGATTTTCAAGCTTTCTTATAATCATCTACTCTAGGCTATCCATCTGTGCTAGTGGAAACCTATACTTTATTTCTTGATTTCTTTATTTGCTTATTGTGAAATGATGGCAAGAAAACAAAGGTGTTCACAAGTGGATTATGTCTAAAAGAAGACACCTTCTGTGGGACACCTGAGTGGCTCAGCGGTTGAGCGTCTGCCTTTGGCTCAGGGCATGATCCCGGAGTCCCTGAGTCCCGCATCAGGCTCTCTTCGGAGGAACCTGCTTCTCCCTCTGCCTATGTCTCTACCTCTCTCTCTGCGTCTCTCATGAATAAATAAATAAAATCTTAAAAAAAAAAAAAGACACCTTCTGTTGAAGTAATGGATGTATGCTCTTTGTTCAGTCTTTGTATATATAGTCTTTCACTTATTTTCCTTTACAAAGCATATATTCTGCAGGTAGTAATTATAGTTAGAATTTTAGTCAAGGAATAAAATAGTTCCAACTAACTATAGAAAGACCGAACCCGTGACAATATCATATTCTAATCAGTTGAATATAGGCTTAACAGGATTCCTGGCACACTCAGTTTTTTAAGGACTCTGCATTGCCAATCAGACCAAAGTACTGTGCTTCTTCTTTTTCTTTAAAATTTATTTATTTGGGGGGTGGAAGGGGCAGAGGAAGAGAGACAATCAGCTTGATCTCAGCACCCTAAGATCATGAACTGAGCTGAAATCAAGAGCCAGCCAACTGACTGAGCCATCTAGGCACCCCAGAGTACTGTGCTTCTTGAGTAGAAAGATTTGCTTTACTAACACCTAAAAGAATTATAACAGTTATAGACAATCTTGCATTTTTGTGTAGAATAATTATGTCAGCACAATTTATATATTATAATACAGGGGTTTAAAGTAAAAATTTATATCTATACATGTAATATAAAACGATATAAAGAGTAAATTTAGCATAAACATTTTGGAATGACTAGAAAAGGTTTACAACTACATGACTTATACTTTTGCTACTTCTATTAGGGTTTCTATACAAATTATTCAAATCTTGATTATAATAGAGAAGATGGAAGTGTAAACACATTATTCAAATAGTGTGTAGAATATTATTACCATGTTGATTTCTCAGTTTTATTCAGTCATAAATGCAAAGCAGAACTATGTAACATGTCATTGGATTTTATTTTGCCTTGTTAGCTCCTCAAGAGTTATTGATCTATGAAATGGCAGAGAATGGAAAAAATTGTGACCAGAGACGTGTAGCAATGAACAAGGAACAATATAATGGAAACTTCACAGGTAAATTATGGTGGTTTGGAGGTAGAAGATCTACACATTTAAATGATATCCTTTTCATTGGAATAAAATAGAAATATATCTAGTATTTACTATCTTTTGTTAATAATATGTTAAGATACATAAGATTCTTATATGTCTTTATATAAGATTACAGAAGTCCCAGCCCCTTGTTTGCATTTTCTTTTTCCATGGTTTCAGTTACCTGTGGCCAACTGCAGTCCAGTAACAGAATGATCTATTATCAGAAGTTCAGTAAAAGCCTTATGCCACAATGTAACGTAACAATGCCTGCATCATTTACTTCACTTCCTCTCATTACATAGGCATTTTATCATATCATGTAATCTCAAGGACGACAGTACAGTAAAACATTTTGAGAGAGAGTTAACATTCACATAACTTCTATTATAGTGTATTTTTATAATTTTTTTATTATTAGTTACTGCTATCAATCTTACTGTGCCTAATTTATAAATTAAACTTTATCACAGCTATATAGATACAGGAAAAAACATACTATATATAGAATTTAGTACTATCTGTGGCTTCAGGCATCCACTTGATGTCTTGGAACATGTCCCCCACAAATAAGGGGTGACTACTGTAATTATCTTTTGTTTATGCTTCATAGTAAATGAAATTATGGGCCATTTGGTGAACTCTTCACAGTAAATGAAATTATAGGACCATACAGTTCTATAGGGTGAATTTTGACAGTGATAGCAGAAGCAGCCTAACCACAGTCACATCAGCAGTGGTCTAGGTACAAGATAATTATTTGTTAATCTTATAGTATGGTTAATATTTATTTGGGATTGTTTGGTACTCAGTTTTATCGTGCTGCTTTGTAACTTTAGAAGTAAATTATAAAGTTATTTATTATAATAATCCTAAACATACAAATATCAAAAAAGTCAGAATGTGATCATTGTGGGTTTATCTTAAATCTTTCATTTGCGACAAATAAATTTGTATTTTAATCAAAATCAGAATTTGTGGTAAATTTCAGCATATTTGACTCTTTTTCATACATTTACCCCCCCCCAAAAAAAACCCTGAAAGCCCTGAAAATTATGGCTTTTATTTACATAGATGGTTCAAGTAGGAGCTTTCCTTACTGTGTTGAAAGGACAATGAAAGATTTTCCATTTCTGTTCATTGTAATAGTTTTCTTTTTGACTTCTAAATTGTTTGGCATCTCAAATGTATTGCAAATAAACTCTAGCCTGGTGATAATATATTATAGAAGTTATCTTATGTTGGAAGAAGTACAAACTATGTGAAATAGTAGCTCCTCTTTGTCCTGATCACTACATTGCCTTGGAGAACACATTTTGCAGCACTTCTCTGACTTTTGGTTACTCTGATTATTGATAAATTTTATACCATTTCACCAAGAGTTTCAGGTTTCAGAGATAGGTGTGCATATGTCATATAGTCTCTTCACATTAGGAGCTTAGGCATAGTATTTTTTCTTTCTCTCTAAAGGAATGCACATTTATATATTCTTTCCCTACTGCCTACCCCTTGGAATTTAAAATTAATGTTAGTATGGCATATTTACTCTCCTGTACAGTGTTTTTTTAGCTTAATATTTCCTAAGGATTTTGCTGTAATTGTACATGAAGAACTTAATCATTATCACTGTTTAGTTTCCCATCGTATGAGAATTACTCTTCTGTTTTCTGTTGTTAACATTTAAGTTGATTATAATCTTTTGTTTAGACAGATAACATTGAACTAAATACACTTGTACAAGAAACATTTCACCTCATACTTAATCATTATTAGAAATGGGATTATTAGGGATCCCTGGGTAGCTCAGCGGTTTAGCGCCTGCCTTTGGCCCAGGGCGCGATCTGGAGTCCCGGGATTGAGTCCTACATCAGGCTCCCTGCATGGAGCCTGTTTATCCTTCTGCCTGTGTCTCTGCCTCTCTCTCTGTGTGTGTCTCTCATGAATGAATAAATAAAATCTTTAAAAAAAATGGGACTATCTGGTATATGCATTTGCAATTTTGATATTAACCTTAATTGTACTCTTACTAAGTGTCAGACTCTTCTGAGAACTTTACATATACTAACTCATTAAATCTTTTCAGTGACCTTAAAATAGTAAGTACTATTTTCATCTTCATTTTAGAGAAGGGAAAACTGAGACATAAAAAAATTAACTAACTTGCCCAAGGTCATTTGACTTGTATCCAGGATTTGGAACCAAGTAGTTTGCCTTCCCATTTGGAACTCTGAACCACTTTGCTCTGTGATATGATGCTGAATTACCCTTCATAGAAGGTGGGCCAACTTAGTATCCCAGTAGTGTACAAGAACAGAAATTTGTGTCCTGACAATAAAATCACTGCAAAAATCATTCTTAGAATATAGCAGAAGTACATTAGCCAAAACTTATAATGTGAACATATTCCTTGTTTTTTGAGGTTTTTATGCAGTCCTTTAAATATGGGTTGTAAAAGTAGATTAATTTTGAAAGTGGTGAGGAGAAGTAAACATTCTGTTTTACCTTCTGCACTAATGTTTTTCAGACCCCTCTTCAATGAATGAAAAGAAGAGGAGGGATCGGGAAGAAAGGCAGAATATTGTCCTGTGGAGACAGCCACTCATTACCTTGCAGTATTTTTCTCTGGAAATCCTAGTAATCTTGAAGGACTGGACCTCAAAGTAAATATCTTCCATTACCTTTTATATAAACCTTATTTACTAACTTTAGAAATCTTTAACAATCTCCTACTTTCTACCAACTGCTCTTTCAAAATGAATTAAATTTAAAATATTTAGGAACATTTATTTTCCTTTCTGATGTTTGCAGAAAAATAGATTAGGGGAATATATTGCTATTTGCTCGCTGGATTATTACAGTCTTTTATGCAAAGAAGAACCTAGAAAACAAGATATTTTTTTTTCTTCTGGCTTTACCTTTAGAAGAAATTGGGCCTGTGTACATTAGATACACTGATTCTTTGGTAGGGCAGGGTCAGGATATGTGGCACTTTTACTGATAATTTGAGTCAGTGAAAAAGGACTCTGCCATGGAAATGTGTTGTATTTTTAAGGTCAGTACTTATAAGCCCTGTTTCAGATATCATAACAAGCAAGTTGAACCTTTACATACCTTATCATTTTGGGCTTGCCTTTCTAAGTTATTATCTTTAATAATATCCTGTTTTTATTGTATTTAGTTTCTAAAACATTTTATAACATTTTTTGGTTCATTTGCTCCTTAAAGCAACTCTGTGAAACTAGTGAAACAAGTTTATGATTACAGTTGGCTCTTGAACAACATGGGGGTTGGGGATTCCAATCCCCACACATTTGAAGATCTGTGTATAATTTTTGACTCCTCAAAAACATAACTACCAACTGGAAATTTGTTGGCATAATTTTGACTGGAAATTTTTGGAGATTATATATATATATATATATATATATATATATATATATATATATATATATTACATGCTGTATTCTTAGAATATAGTAAACTAGAGAGAAGAAAATGTTATTAAGAAAAATATATGGAAGAGGGCAGCCTCAGTGGCTTAGTGGTTTAGCGCTGCCTTCAGCCCAGGGCGTGATCCTGGAGACCCCGGATCGAGTCCCACGTTGGGTTCCTTGCAGGGAGCCTGCTTCTCCCTCTGTCTGTCTCTGTCTTTCTCTGTGTGTCTCTAATGAATAAATAAAATCTTTTAAAAAAAGAAAAAAAAAGAAAGAAAAGAAAAGAAAAAAACATATGGAAGAGAAAATAACCTTTACAGTACTATACTATAAAAAATCCACCTGTGATCCCTGTGCAGTTCTGACCCATTTTGTACAAGGGTCAATTTTATTATGATCTTGAAAACAAAAAACCAAATCAGATTGTCTTACTCAATATGAGATACTTAGGGACTCTGACCCAGGTCCTCTAACTTGAAGGCCAGTCTTCTTTTCATGTCTCTCCCAGTGGGAAGTTGAGTTGTAAACAAGATCAGTCTTTTGGGTAAGGGAAAGGCTACAGTTGGGCTTATGATAAGAAATTGGGTGTTCTATACCCATGTATCTTCTCTTGACCTCTGTAACCCAAGAGACCATCGTGTTTAAGGACAGAAGAGTTCAGCACAAAAGATATGATTCTCTAGCTATGTTAAATAACATAAGTGCTTCAATAAGAAATTGTTTTGGAAGTGGTAAATCCTGAAAGTGAGACTGAGATATTTCATTTATTTTTGTTTTTAAATTGTTTTTAAGATTATGGCATCGTCAAAGCATTGTGGTGTCTTTTTTACTGCTGCTTGCTGTACTTACAGCTACGTATTATGTTGAAGGAGCACATCAACAGGTAAGAGGTTCTGCTTTTCTGTTTTTGTACCTCATACCTCCCAAAGAATTTTAAAAAGGGACTATTGTGGGTTTGATAACAGTTTTTAACCTCTACATTTTTAGACTTGGTTTTGTCTTAAATTTATCTCATAACTGATTTCTTAATGTCTTTCTTTTAAGACCAAATATTAAAAATATTCTTGTGGCAGTTCATGGCTGCTGAGCATTTACGCATCATTTTTATTTTCAAGGATTCAAATGTAACTTTCCTGATTGTGTTTAGTCAAAATAGTCATGAATCCTTTAATCAGCACCAAGTCTTCATATTTTCTTTAACACACTCCTGTGATCCATCCAAACAGATATATTCATCTTAGATTGAAAGTTAGGTTTTATAAATCTAAAATAGGGAGAAGTTAATTTGCCAGTAGTCTGTAAGTACAACATAACTGAAAGGAAAATAGGACATTTTGTTAATAACTTTTGTTAAAATAGTAAGACATTAGTGTATTCTAATAGGAAATGGTTTTAAATGTGGTATCGTTTTATATTTTATAGCAGTTAACCTCTAATTGCAAAGAAGTTTTTATAGTTTTAAATGCATTTCTCTTAAATATTTTGAAGAAATCTGTGCCAGTAAGAGTTTGTGAGGAACTGGTTTGATGAATTTGCTTGCCAGTATGAGAGTCTAAGTTCTAGTGTCTGGAATGCCTCCAACAAGTCCTTTGCTCAGTGGACTTCGTTCGGTTTAAAAAGCATCTGGGTCTTAAAGTACAAAAATAAGTTTATTCCATTTTTTATTTGGATAAACAAGAATCTATTCCATTCACAAATACATAAATAACTGCCCTCTCTCATGCTGTTTATTACAATGCTTTCTTAAACAAAATGCTTTTTGTAACTTTTAGATAGATTTAAAAATTTTATTCTTATAGTTATCTTATTAGTAATTTGTGTTTTTCCTGTAAATGTCATTATATAGGAATAGTAGGACTTTAAAGGTCTAAAAACAAGAGCTTTATTACAGTCAGATGAATTTTTTGCCTCTCTGCCATCATATATACGAAGAATTAGGCCTTTTGAAGGGGTTTTTTCTCTTAATGCTTTCTTCCTACTAGAAATTTATATAGTTGGTTTGTTTTACTAGAAATTTATATAGTTGGTTTGTTTTATTTTGATCATAGGTGGTATATAACACATTTTTGTTTAACAAATTTGTTGAGTTTTTTTTCACTGGATCCTTTTTGTTTTTCAGTATGTGCAACGTATAGAGAAACAGTTTCTTTTGTATGCCTACTGGATAGGCTTAGGAATTTTATCTTCTGTTGGGCTTGGAACAGGACTGCACACCTTCCTCCTTTATCTGGTAAGAATAACAATAAGCAAGATTGAAAGAGATGTTTCAATTGGTGCTTTTACTTCAGAAGTTAAAAATCTAAGATTTTTATTTATTTACCTTTGCATTTTAAAAGCATTCTCATCCTCAAATCAGTGTTTTAAATTTGATTTAGAATTCTGTTTTTTTTTTTTCCTTTTGGGTTGAGGATTTAAAAAGAGAAGGATAAAACCCTTGGGCACATGAGATTGTTTAATTAAATTAATTCACCCAGGAAATGTTTTTTCCTTCCAGATTTTGGAATAATGGTTCTTTTGCTTATGTAATTATTATTTTAATAGTTGAAGTTCTTTAAATGTACAAAATAACATGTAAGGCTTAGAATTAATTTAAACAGTTTACTTTGTTAATCAGCAAATGAGAAATGGTGTCTTCCCTCATGTCCTCAAACACCATGTATACACACTTGAATAGTCATTTTGTATTCTAACTGAATGTGGTTAATAAAGTGTTATTCATATAGAATTAAAAGCTTCCTTAAGCCCTTTTAAATCAAAATATAAAATGTACCCCTCCTAAAAATATTTTATTTATGAAATTGGAGAGATAAAAGATAGGTTTTCCAAATGTACTGAAATAATAGCAGAATTAAGACCGGGAGATGAAAAGCAGGACATCTAGGGCACAGAATGTAAATGACATTTTCAGGGTCATGTAAATATGGGCTTGATGAGTGAGTGCTTCATTAAATTTTGTGCCGGGATGTCTCTCTTATTTCACTCTATTCCTGTTCCTGAGGAATTGAAAACCATTCCCTATTTGAAACAGCTTGATCTTGGTTGGGGAAAGACAGGTAAAAAGTTGTCACAGCAGTACTAATTGCTGAATAAAGTTTAGCACAGCAAACACTTGGAACCTTTATGAATTCAATGCTTCAATGAATGCTTCAATGAATTCATTTCTGAAGCAGGGAAGTATTAAGGAATGATTGTTCAGAAGACTGCTGACTTAATGGCTTGAAGAATAATTTGAGAATTAATCTGTAATTCATACCTTCTCCAAGTTTTAAGACTTGAAAATCTGAAATTTTATAATTCTGTTCATGATTGGTTGCTGATTTTATCCCAAATAGGGACATAAATCTCAGAGAACTAATCTATATCAGTGTTTCTTTAATATTTACATTCTTAGAAGTATGCTATATTAGAGGTTGAGGGAGAAGAGAAAAGAAGGAATTAAAGAGTCTAGGTTACCTTCTGTTCTTTTCTAGACCTTTCCTCTGAGATTCCTTGGGGAAACCAGATTAAGGAACTCATTTGTAGCATTTGATTAATTTAGGAGTATCTAAAAAGCAACCCAGGTAGCAGGTTCTGCCAAACCTTAAAAAGAGATTCTTTTTTTTTTTTAATTTTTATTTATTTATGATAGTCCAGAGAGAGAGAGAGAGAGAGAGAGAGAGAGAGAGAGGCAGAGACATAGGCAGAGGGAGAAGCAGGCTCCATGTACTGGGAGCCCAATGTGGGATTTGATCCCGGGTCTCCAGGATCGCACCCTGGACCAAAGGCAGGCGCCAGACCGCTGTGCCACCCAGGGATCCCCTTAAAAAGAGATTCTAATGAAATTGCACAAGTTAAAGAAATTTGAAATAGGGAAGTTTTATGTTTCCTCTTTCTTTTCATGTCCATGAGAAACCTTTATGAAATGACATTTATAAAATGTCTTAATGTGAAGCATTATTTAGTTCCTTCGATCCATGGAGGACTTAGAAACGTACAATCATTTATTATTAAATTCATTTGAGTGAAAAATCAGGTCTTTGCCATAAATTAAGCAGCTACTTCTGCTGGGGGATCAAAGTGCAGATGTAATAGAGTGTGGTTAGGCTTTTCATAAGTGTGGAAGGAATTCCTCAAGAGTTACTTGAAGAAACATGTTATACTCTCATTAAAGTCAACACTGTATGTATTATACTAGTTTAGCAAGTATATAGATTTAATCAAGGAGCATCTAAAACAGTGTTGCATTTTACATGAGAGCTATATAAAAATTTTGTGGCACAGTGCCTTGGTGGCACATTGAGTTATTTGCCTGACTCTTGGTTTTGGCTCAGGTCATGATATTAGGTTGTGAGATTTAGCCCCACTCCATGTGTAGCATGAATTCTGTCAAAGTTTCTTTCTCCCTCTCCCTCTGCCACTCTTCCCCTTGCGTGCACACTCTGTCTCTTAAATAGATAAATCAATCAACATAATAAATAAATAAAAGTTTTGTGGTGTTATCACTGCTGATAATAAACTGGGGTCCAGAATGGATCAGACTACTTTTTCAGCATTAAGTAAATTTGATTTTTGTTTGTGAGCAGCATTTAGAATTATTTTAAATGTGCTAAAATTAAATACAAGTAAAATAACCATATCTGCATTTTGAATATATGTTACTGGCTGTACTGGGGGAGATAGGTTGAAAGTGGGAGAAAAAGAAGATAGGGCAGTTATGATAACCCTTCAGAAAGATACAGGCTTCCATGGAGATAGCAAGAAGTATGGAGAGCAGGGGAAATTACAAAAAAGAATTTGCAGAGAGACGTCAAACAGAATGGAACTAAAAGATGGTATAAATTTTTAGTATTTCAGAAGAGTGATTGGAGTAGTAGTAGCATTCGGATGAAACAGGATACATCTTAGAGAAATGTGAATAGTACAATCGCAAAGATACTGTGATTTAGTTATGGGGGAAAGAGCCAAAGATAACTGTTGGATTTTGATTAGAGTGAGTAGATGCTGATACCATTACTTTTTTTTTTTAAAGGTTTTATTTATTTATTCATGAGAGACAGAGAGAGAGAGAGAGAGAGAGAGAGGGGCAGAGACACAGGCAGAGGGAGAAACAGGCTCCATGCAGGGAGCCCAACGCGGGACTCGATCCCAGGTCTTCAGGATCAGGCCCTGGGCTGAAGGCCGCGCTAAACCGCTGAGCCATCCGGGCTGCCTGATGCTGATACCATTACTGAAGAGAAAACAGTTTTGTATTATAAGTATCTGAAAAGAGAAATTTAAAAAGATGTACTATATTGCAGGGTAGATGACATCTTCACCTGATTTGGGTGGGTTACTCATGCCAGTGGTTGGACAGAAAGAAAAGGGAAATTTACAAAGGACTAAGAACACCCACTCCCCCTCCCTCCCTCCCTTCCTTCCTTTCTTTTTCTCTCTCTTTAGAGAGAGAGAATGAGAACATGCCTGTGACAGGACAGGTGGAGGGGCAGAGGGAGAGAGGTAGAGAGAATCTTAAGCAGGCTCCACACCCAGTACGTGATCTGATGACCCTAATTGGGATCATGACCAGAGCCAAAACCAAGAGTCAGTCACTTAACCACTGAACCACCCAGCTGCAGTGCCCTATTTCTCTCCTCCTTTCTTCCCTCCCTCCTCCCCCCCCTTTCCTTTCTTCCTCTCTCCCTCCCTCCTCCCCCTTCCTTTCCTTTCTTTTCTTCTCTTCCTTCCTTCCTACCTTCCTTTCCTTTCCTTCCCTTTTTTTCCTTCCCTTCAGGCTGACTGGCTGGCTTGCTTTCTTGCTTTATTTTTTGCATCAGTTTTAGGGTTGCAGAAAGGATAAAGTTTTCATGTACCATTTTACACACACAAACACAGAGTTTTCCTTTTGTTTATTAAGGCATAATTGATATTAAATATTATTTTAGTTTTAGATGTACAATATGATAATAGTTTCACTATTATTAACATCTTACTTTGGTATAGTACATTTGTTACAATTAAGGAGCCAGTATTGATACATTATTAACTAAAGCCAATTGTTTACATTAGAGTTCATTTTTTATTTTACAGTTCTATGGTTTTTTTTTTTTTAAGATTTTATTTATTTATTCATGAAAGACACATAGAGAGAGAGGCAGAGACATAGGCAGAGGGAGAAGTAGGCTCCATGCAGGAAGCCTGATCTGGAACTTGATCCCGGGACTCCAGGATCCCACTCTGAGCCAAAGGCAAGTGCTCAACCACTGAGCCACCCAGGTGTCCCTAGTTCTATGGGATTTGACAAATAGATAATGTTATGTATCCTCCACTATAGTATCATATGGAATAATTTCACTGCCCTAAAAATTGCCTGTGTTCTACCTATTTACTGCTACCTTCCACCTCCCCTCCACCCATAAACCCTTAGTAACCACTGATCCTTTTATTGTCTCTGTAAGTTTTGGCTTTTCCAAAATGTTACATAGTTGGATTTGTATATTATATGTTTACTCCCTGGCTTCTTTCACTTAACAATATGCATTTAAAATTCCTCCATGAAAAAAAAAAATTCCTCCATGTCTTTTTATGGCTTGCTGCTTCATTTCTTTTTAATGCGAATAATATTCCATTTTCTGGATGTACCACCAGAGTTTGTTTCTTCCTCTGCCTGTATCTCTGACTCTCTCTTTGTGTCTCTCATGAATAAATGAATAAAATCTTAAAAAAAAAAAATTTAAAAAGCCGGATGCCTGGGTGGCTTAGCGGTTGAGCATCTGCCTTTAGCCCAGGGCGTGATCCTGGGGTGCTGGATCGAGTCCCACATCGGGCTCCCTGCATGGAGCCTGCTTCACCCTCTGCCTGTGTCTCTGCCTCTCTCTCTCTCTTTCTCTCTCTCTGTGTCTCTCATGAATAAATAAATAAAATCTTTAAAAAAAAACTGCTATGAACATTTTGCCTGTATAAAAATTTTCAACTCATTTGGGCAATTATTAGAGACATGATTCATGGATTGTGTATATTAATTACTGGTATACAGGAAAGCAGTTAACTTGTATATTAACTTTGTGTACTACAACCTTGCTATAACAATGTTCCAGGACTTTTTTGTTTGTTCTTTAGGCTTTCCTACATTGATAATCATCTCATCTGCAAATAAAATTTTGTTTCTTTCTTCTTAATCTGTATATCCTTTCATTTTCTTTTTGTACTGCATTAACTAGGTCTTCCAGTATGATGTTGAATAGGAGTGGTGAGGAGACATTATGCTTTGTTCCT